AGCGACGCACCAGCGCCGAGGCAGCAGGTACCCGGATCTCTGGGTCTAGGCTGGGGAACAATAACCGTGAGTACACTCGAACGGGGTCATCCTCGTGGTGGATGAGGGGAGCGAATTGTGGGCGTACTCCACCCACACCAGGTTGTCCACCCACAGGGATTGGTCCCGGCTACACAGGAGCCATAAGCCCGTCTACAATTGCTGGTTGAGTCTCTCTGCCTGGCCGTTGGTCTGGGGGTGGAAACCCAATGACAGGCTCACGGTTATGCCCAGGAGGCGACAAAATTCAGCCCAGAAGCATGCTATAAACTGGGGTCCCCGGTCTGACACCACATCCCTGGGCAGGCCATGTAGGCAGAAAACATGCTGGAGCAGGAGCTGTGCAGTCTCTTTAGCAGAAGGTAATTTGGGCAGAGGAATGACGTGAACCATTTTCGAGAAATGATCAACGAATGCAAGTATGGTGGTTTTACCTTTAGAGAGTGGCAGGCTGGTGACGAAATCTAGGGCGAGATGGGACCAAGGTCGTGAGGGGATAGGAAGCGGGTGCAGTAGTCCAGAAAGTTTGCTGGATGAGGTCTTGTTCTTGGCACAGTCCTGGCAGGCGTTCACGAATTCTCTGACGTCGTCCTGTAGCGTTTGCCACCAGAAACGTCGCTGGACGACATAGCAGGTCCGGGCCACGCCCGGGTGGCAAGAGAACCGGGATGTGTGACACCATTGGAGCACTCGAGCTCTGATGGATGCAGGTACGAACAACCGACCTGGTGGGCATGTGGACGGGCTGGGGTCATTTGCCTGGGCGGTCAGTACCTCCTGCTCAATGCCGAGTTGTACGGCTCCAAGGTAAGCAGCTTGTGGCAGGATGTAGGCAGGTTCCGGGTCTTTTTCCTCTTCCCTGTTGTGTTGTCTGGACAGTGCGTCTGCCTTGCCATTCTTATGCCCTGGGCGATAAGGGAGAAGTCAAAGCGATTTAAAAAAAAGGAAGAGTGCCCACCTTGCCTGCCGGGGGTTGAGCCTCTTTGCCGTCCGCAGGTACTCCAGGTTCTTGTGGTTGGTCCAGACCAAGGACGGCAGTTGAGCCCCCTCCAGCCAGTGTCTCCACTCCTCCAGGGCCAGTTTCACTGCCAGTAGCTCCCTCTCTCTGATGCTGTAACGGCTTTCGGCCGGAGTGAGACACCTGGAATAGAAAGCACAAGGATGCAGTTTCAGGTCAGAACTTAGGCGTTGGGACAGCACCGCCCCCACCCCGGTCTCAGAGGCATCCACTTCCACAATGAATTGTTTGGTGGGTTGGGCAAGGAGAGAATGGGGGCTGCCGTGAACTGGCGCTGAAGTGCGTGAAAGGCTGCTGTGGCTTGATCAGTCCAGGCGAAATGGCTGGTGCTGGACGTGAGTCGATGTAGGGGGGCGGCGATGGTACTGAAATCCTTGATGAACTTGCGGTAGAAATTGGCAAACCCCAGGAAACGTTGTGTCTGCTGTTGGCCAAGAGGACATGGCCTAAACCTTGGCAGGATCCATTTCAATGTGCTCTGGGGAAATGACAAAGCCCAGGAAGGAGACAGTTCTGGCGTGGAAGCAGCTCTTCTCTGCTTTTACAAACAAGTTGTTCTGGAGGCGGCGTTGCAACACGGCTCGAACATGAGTCCTGTGCTCGGTCTCAGACGGGGAAAATATGAAAATATCGTCTAGGTATACAAAGACGAATTTGTTCAGCATATCCCCTAAAACATTATTGACCAGGTTCTGGAACACAGCAGGGGCATTAGTGAGTCCGAAGGGCATGACCAGATACTCAAAATGGCCTGATGGGGTGTTGAATGCTGTTTTCCACTCATCCCCCTCCCTCATACACACCAGATGATAGACATTTCTGAAGTCCAATTTGGTGAAGATCTGTGCCCCATGTAGCAGTTCAAAGGCGGTGGATATAGTGGTTGCGGGTAACGGTTCTTGACGGTGAACCTGTTGAGACCACGATAATCAATACACGGACGTAGTCCTCCATCTTTTTTGCCAAGAAAGAAAAACCCTGCCCCTGCAGGTGATGAAGACGGTCGAATCAGTCCAGCCTTCAGGACTTCTGTGATGTAGGACGTCATGGCCTTGCGTTCAGGAGGGGGGAGTGAAAATATCCGGCCCCTAGGGGGTGTGGTTCCAGGCTGTAGTTCAATAGAACAATCATATGGTCGATGGGGTGGTAGCTCTGTATCTCGAGCCTTGTTGAACACCTGCTTGAGGTCCAGGTACTCAGGTGGGACCTTGGATATGTCGGGGTACAAGTCTGGCTCTGTCTCTGCCCCCGGCTGGTAGCTGCTTGCAGACACTGGGTGGCGCATTGTGGCGACCATTCAGTTATTTTCCCTTTGGCCCACAAGATCTTGGCACCGTGCCTCACCAGCCAAGGAAAGCCCAAGACTACAAGGTGATGTGAGGACTGCATTACAAGAAAGTCAGAGGTTTCCCTGTGATTATCGATAGAAAGGGTTAGTGGTGGTGTGTGGCTGGTAACACGTTGCAGGATCTTGTTGTTAAAAGAATGAACCAGGAGTGGGTTACTCACGGGGTTGCTGGGGATTTGGTGCTGACGGAGAAACGCTGGATCGATGAAGCTGGTGTCAGAACTGGAGTCGATGAAAACAGAGACGGGGATGGTCTTGGTGTCATAGGAGAGCTGAGCTGTGATTATGGGACGGGAGGCCTGTGTATTCACCGTTTCGTGGCTCAGCAACGTCCTCCCAGTCCTGCTGAGCCTCTGCCCTTTTACTGGACAAAAAAACGCCCGATGGCTAGGCCCCCCACAGTATAGGCTTAAGTTCAGCCTGAATCTGCGTTCTGTCTTCTGGTTTTAATCGGGCGCGGCCCAGTTGCATGGGTTTAGGGTTTTGTGTAGCTGTCCGGACGTATTCCTGGGGGGCGCGTCTGCTGTTGTCTTCGTTCTGATTGTCTTTCTCTGTATCGGCCGTCTATTCTGGTCACCAGATCCATTAGCGGCCAAAGGTGTCTGGGCCGGTCATATGCTGTGAGTGCGTCTTTCAGTCCGTCTCATAACCCTCCATAGAAGGCGTCGATCAAAGCAGGTTCGTTCCATTCTGTACAGGCAGCCGCGGTGCAGAAGTAGATTATGTAATCCACTGCTGATCGGTTCCCTTGTACCAAGGTGTGTAGAGAGGGAGAAGTGGCTGTAGCATGGCTGGGTGGATCGAAGATCCTCGTTAGTTCTGCCCCGAACCTCTGAAACATAGCGCAGCAGTCCGATCAGTTGGCCCACTCGGCTGTACCCCACTGGCGAGCTCGGCCCGTCAGTAACGATAGTGTGTAAGTGACCTTTGACCGCTCCGTGGGGAAACCCGAGGGCTGGGACTCAAACTGTATCTCTCACTGCGTCAAAAAAGAACAGCTGTCCCCACTCTGTCCGCCGTACTGCTCCGGGGGTGGGATCCTGGGTTCGTGGACACTTGGCATGGTGACTGGAGCCCCGGCAGCAGCGCCTCACGGTACGTCCTCGTGAGCCAGACCATGTACTGTGGTTTGTACCGTCCCCAGCGCAGCCTCATGAGTGGCCAGAGCCCATTCAATGCACTCCTGCCATTCACGGAGCTCACTGCTGGCTGGGTTCATTTTGGCCAGATTGTACTGTCAGGGAGGCGAGTGGCGCTCTCGTGAATAAAGAGGAGTGAACCCAATTAAAGAGCCAGTCCACTGAGGCAGTAGAACAGATTTTAATGTCCTTTTGTGATCTCAGCAGAAACACACACAGACCTGGGGGATCAGGCAGAAGAGTGGTACTTAATACGGTCCAGGGTCGAAGTCTCCAGCAGGGCAGCAGAGAAGGCAAGGCAGAATCACAGGTTAGTTGAACAGGCAGGATGTCGATCTCAGGTTGGAAGTCAGACAAGAGGGAGCAGGCTGGATCACAGGTCATTAGAGCAGGCAAGGGGCTGGTACCAGGAAAGCAGTCAGGGAAAAACACTGGAGAGTCTAGACAGGGCATAGAACAATCTGGCAGCTCCCCACACTATGAGGAGCTGCTATATGCTGTGTTGAACAGGTGTGGGTGATTAGTGGCAGGTGAAACCAATGTGCATGATGAGATGAAGTTACCAGGGTTGTGGATGAGCTGGTGACAGGAAGTGGTACCAAAATAAAAGTAGGATCCCGGAAGCAGACGGGGCAGGATCATGACAATAAAAGGGAAATCCTTTAAGCTGCAGATTGTTTCCAGTTTTCTCAACAATGTAGGGTGTTATTTGGCTTTAGCTCATTAGCAATGCTCCTAACAGAATCTGTGGTGGAATGTTTCTTATTAAAATCATCTTGGTAGTTGTAGCTGACTTCTCATGTTTTATATACACAAGAGTTATGCAACTGCTGTATTGGTGACTTTTTTTACACAGTTTTCTTCTTTCCAGAGTATCAGCACCATGGTCATCTTTGCCAAGACGTGTTGAATTACATTTTCTGGTAGCAACTTGTTTGATAAAAAACTGAACAAGTGACTAAACATCCATTATCATCTTCAGCAAGAAGAAAAATTAATGTTTCTACATAGTGAATCCTAAGACTGTGGTGCAACACAGTACAACAGTACATGTTGTTATCCCTCTTATTTTGGTGAGAGAGCAATAGCAGGCTCATGTTCAGACTATACATCATTCCTCTTTGTGTATCCACTGCATACAGGCTAGATTCTACTGCATCCAGCTCACACTAAAATTTAAATCATTCTGATAGCAGCACACACACACATACACACAATGATTCACTTATTTTTAAAGCTAAAGTAGGCAATGTGTTCTTGCTCTTCTTACATACACACAGAATAGCATGCAACATTTTGCACCACAACACTTTAAGTTAAATTTTAACAGTTGATTTGCAGGCAGATTGTTGATGTTTAACAGGAGGAGGTGTGTTAACAGCACTGAGGGCACATACATAAATCTCTCGCTCAGTGTGTGAGATTCTCTTTGGTGCCTGACAGATTTCCTCTTCTCACTTCTCCTCCTCTTTCTTCTCTCCACCCCTCTACACCACAGAGGCATGCTTTGGATCAGTTCACACTGCTATCCAAATACTGTATGAGCCGGCGACTACAGCTCTGAGGTCAAGTCAGATTAACAGCAGTTTGCACAGAGAAAGTCTGGTTTTAGTTTAAGTGAAGTTTTCAGGCTTGGAAGTCGACGTGGTTGACAGCATGGACATGGAGAAACCACAGACGCGTTACTGCATCCGGCGTACGCATGTACTTGTCATCTGTGTGATGATGGTGGTGTGCTCTTTGGCAGTGGGCCTTGGGGTGGGCCTCTCCAGGTCAGGCACCACCACGACCACAGAACCTACTGAGTCCCTTCCACCTGGCAGAGGGCCCTGCATGCCTTCCACTGATTCTAGCGGGGAATGGACAGGTTTCCGTCTGCCCAGCTACGTGAATCCGGTCCACTATGACCTGCATCTGGAGCCTGACTTAGTTGAGGACACCTACACCGGCACCGTGAGCATCCATGTGGAAATCAGTAGGCCCACACGTCATCTGTGGCTCCACATCAGGGATACATTTGTCAGTGCCCTGCCCAGGCTGACGAAGCTAAACCATGACGGAGGCAGTAGGGAGATGCCGATAAAAAGTTGTTTTGAATACAAACCTCAGCAGTATGTGGTGGTGGAAGCTACAGAGGAACTGCCTGCCACCAACCTAGGAGAGGTATATGTGCTCAGCCTGGACTTCCAGGGCTGGCTCAATGGCTCTCTGGTGGGATTCTACAGCGTTGTTTACACTGAGAATGGGGTCATTAGGTAAGTTCTTATACAGGTTATGGAGGAGTTACAATTGTTAAAATGGAGGCGTTATATTTGTTGAAAAATGTATAAACATTTAAAATGTCCTCATATATTATAATTATAGTCTAATAATGTAAAAATAATAGACTTGAAAATGCTGTAGGAAAATCGAATGTTTAATATAATGTTTAAAAATTGAATATTTTTCCTTAACTATATTTCAAGCTACAGAAAAATGTCATATTGTGTGACTGCTGTGCTGAAGCTATATCCACTGAAGGTCTGTAATGCTTCATGAAATATGTTTCTAAAAATACTTTTTTACATACTACATTCTGTCTGAGCCCAAAATAAAAGACAGCTTCAGCCCTGGAACAGAAGTCAGGGGGATTGTGTTGCACAACATACAGTATGTTCCAATAACTTTCTTAAGATCATATAAGAATACAAAAACAAAAGAACTTACATTACATATATAAAGATTTCATAAAAACATTAAAGAAAAGAAACAAGAAAGGTTATTTTCCAAATAGCAGACCAAAAGAGCACAGGCTGAAGCTCCACCTTGGAACTGCCTTACATCCTCCACATATTAGCTTCAGTCACTACATCAAACATCTTTGTTTAAATTTCCATCGTTATCTACGTTTGTTTTACAGTTTTTTAATATTCCACCATAATTAGTTAGTCTTTGTTTAATAAATACTTTCCCATACCTCAGCGCAGTCTTTCATGTATGGTACTATTTATAAAATTCAATTTAATAAAACAACAAAATGTGCTTCCCCAAGGGTTCCCCTGGGGTCCCTGCTATGCACTTGGAGGCTGAAGTAGGAAATACATGGTTATATGTGTATATAAGAGTGATAAATGCAAGGCATCCATTTTTCTAGCTATACTCAGGACCAAATATGGAAAATTGGTTGCTGTGTGAATGTACTACATAACTGCAGCCTCCCAATCAGCATATTAATGAATCATTTTAATGGCCATGAAGTTCAGTTTATAGACAAAACCACACATTTCCATAACACTGACCAAAATGTGACAGACTAGATTTTCACTGATACCTAAGCTTAAAAATTCATTCTGACAAATCACTCCCAGCACAAAGTCCGCTGCGAAGATTTTTTCTGGAGGGTTAAGTGTAACATATAGTCACCATCAGTGAATGGAATTTGTTCAGTTGTCATGGAGATGATGTGGAAGTGCTGTGTGTGAAATCATAACGACTGCTGAGCTGTTAAATGATTCAACTCCAAGAGAAAATCTGTGCTATAAAGTGGAAAGCTAGGCAGAAAAAGTAGTAAGTGGAGCTTGAGTGGGGATTGTCACAGTATAAAATTCAATTTAAATCAAACAACAAAAATTGCTGAGTTACTGTATACTATAGCTGGCCATTCATACTCTAGCTTTGGAGTAACAAACATTCATCAGCAGTAGGCTGAAAATGTTTGTATTTTGCTTCATAGTGTGCAGCTGGATCTTACAGAAAAAAAAATCTGAACATCAACCCAAAGTTTTGACTTCATTCCAGAGATATAATCAGCTTCAGTCCTTATGCTCAGTATGGTCCAAACAGTCAGGGTTTCGCTGGCTGAGTCACTGCCTCAGAGCTCACAGAAGGTTCTTTAATGTTTTCCATAATTTAATCTTAAATGACATAAATTCAAGCCACCCTTCTAATCTTAAAGGAATAAGTGTTACAGTTAGTCAAAAGGCAGATTTTGGGCTGAGTAGGCTGGTGAAGCTCCTTTGACTTTAACACTAAACACTGCCCTTGTTGAGACTGCTCAGTGTGCATTGTTTCATACCTGATGACAAAAAGATTCTTTTATTTTGATAAACAGATAACAGGCTTCAATGGCCAGACTTTGCCAGGGGAGCTAACTGATGCAAAATACCAGAGGCATAATCACTAATAACAAACTTGCATCTGGTCTCACACACTTTCTATAATTTGTTCCTTTCACCAGAAAGATTGCTGCAACTGATCACGAGCCAACCGACGCCCGCCGGTCGTTTCCCTGCTTTGATGAACCCAACAAGAAGGCCACCTATAACATCTCCATCACTCATGATGCTGCCTATAAAGCTCTGTCCAACATGCCACCTGAGGTAGGACTTAAGTCAGCAATGGTAAATACTCACCGGCCACTGTATTCGGTATACCTTTACAGTTGGATGCAATTCAGTGCAACACTTCCACCTTACATTATATTCAGAGGTGTCTCTCTATATGTGTCCCCCCGAGCTACATACATGAGAGGGTCAGAATATTAGCAACACCTCTGAATATAACATAGTCCAGTAAAACACCACCTTTAACTATGACCTCAATAATAAACATACAATTGAATTTATACATTTATGACAATTTCACCAAAAATTTCAACACTTGAGCTTCATGAACACAAATGTTAAGGTCAAAGTTTTGCTTTGAATTGCATACAAATGTACAAGTGTTCCTAATAAAGTGGCCGGTGAGTGTATATACATGCTGTGTTTCATTTTCAAATAATACATAACCAAAGAAGGCATCAAAAATTGTCCTGCTTAATATGACTACATACTGCTTGTTCAATTCTATCAAATTTAAAAAAGAAAAAAGTAAAACAATAACAAAGACACCCCTAACAACTCCAAAATTCACACCAGATGTAGCTGAAACCTATTTACCACCACAGGCAGCTTGTAATAATGTACATTTTGATAGACTATTATCTAAAATTAATAATATATTAATTAAATAAGTGATAAGCAGTTCCTTCAGTTATTTAAAATTTAACTGGTCTTAGCAGGAGAAGCATAGCTGTAATTAATAACTCTCCAAAGTACCTCACCATAAATGTGCAGAGAAACAATAATTTCAGCTTTGCCTGGAGTTTGTCATCCACCGCCAGTTTGTGTTAACAAAAGCCAGCTTGTTAAGCTTGTCATGAACAAGACAAAATGCCTTACTGTTAAACCAGAGAGAGAGATGGCTGTGGCTCGCTGTGTGCCCAGCAGACTGAGTGATTTTTTTAGGTTATGACAGGCAATACTGTTAACTTGAAGTGGTAGGTAATTTCCTCTGAACTGTCAGTAACTATTAGCTATATGAAATACCCCAAAACCCACTGTCAAGATGTTTTTAAAGTCCAGTAATGGTGTGATGTTTTCTAAATCAAGGAATAATCCTGTTAAACAAGTGTGATTTCAATATTGACCAAAATAACTGTGATTAGGATTTTTGCAGACCAGTAATATAGATTTTTAATCCAAAAGTACAAATGCCATTTACCTAAACATGGTGTTTTGCAGTGTATGGTTCTGTCACCACCACCCTGAAACTACTGAACCCAAAGGAAATGTTGCTTTTGTGTTATTTGCATACTTCAACTGCTGGAGTACTTTTTCAGTCTGTGTTTATTTGACCCCAAATGCTCCAGTTTTTCTCAAGTCTCTGTACATTTGTCAAGTCAAAGTGCATACAGTAGTAAAATCAGAGGATTCGGTCCCGTGCTTCTGTCTGTAGACCAGGGGATGCATTATTTGTCACCAGCTCTATAGGTTGAGACATCCAAATTAATCTCCTAGCCTTTTGCACTGTTTTTGCAGGGCACCCCTCAACAAATGCTTGGCAATAAAGTGAAGACCTCCTTCCAGAAGTCCATTCCAATGAGCACCTATTTGGTATGTTTTGCTGTGCACCAGTTTCACCATGTGGAAAAAACCTCCGCCCAAGGAATTCCTGTGAGTTTCTCATTTTGTCACTATCAGTGCCAGCACTTTGTAAAAACACTCTTAGAGAATATGAAATTAATTTATATTGATAGACTTAGGTCAGGCACATTGCAGTACACACAGACTCACATGTGCTTTGTCTGCCCTTGCAGCTGAGAATCTATGCCCAGCCAAGTCAGTTGGCAACTGCAGAGTATGCAGCCAACACAACCAAGGTCATCTTTGACTACTTTGAGGAATATTTCAACATGCCGTACTCCATCTCAAAACTAGGTATGTTTAGACAAACTCTTTCATGCCACTATACATTAAACATGGCACTGACAGGCACACTGAACAAATCCTGATTTACATACTAGTGTATTGCTATATACCAGGGGTTTTCATTGCACAGGATATACCGCTATACGCCATTAGATAGCACCGCTTTGCAAATAACACACTGTAGCAGTGGAGCATCATCAGGACCAGTCAATGAAAATCAAAATAACCATCATACTTCCTCTGTTTTCTGCTCACCCTAGACTGCGTCTTCCCTCTCACTGTAGGTACTACAAGTTGATCCATTTTGCCCCACCCAGAGCCGAGCTGAAGTCTGATGTTTACAGCTTTTTTTCTGGTTTAGTTTTACTCGTTCTACACCTCCCTGACATTCTCTAGTGCACCTCATACTTTCAAAACCAATACTATATACCATGTTAAGCATGTCTGAGATGTCAGAGAGGGAACTCCGATAATCCATACACAGAAAGCAGTCCGAATCAAGAGGGCAAGGCAGAACACAATGGTCAAAAAACAGTCCGGGGTCAAAACAGGAAATACAGGCATAAGAAAAAACACTGGAAAGTCTGACATGGGTGAGAGAACAATCTGGCAGCTTTCCGATGGGGGAAAGCAAAAAACTGTCTCTTTAATAATAACATGGACAACAAAACCATACGGAAAAAACGAAATACACACTCAGGTCGAAAATACAGTCCAGGGTCAGAGCCAGCAGACTTACACAGCCGAGGGATCCAAAACGAGATGTCAGAGGGAAGTCCAATAATTCATACACGGAAAGCAGTCTGAATCTGCTAAACATTAAAGAACCTTTCTTTAGTAGGTTTCACAAGTCTACAAGAATACAAGTACAGAGAAGAACACCAAGAACACCACCTAGGACACCAAGTTTAGACTCCTCTGCTTGGGAGTTTGAACTTGGTAATGCTGTACTTTAAACTCTAATGAAAAGGAGGACGCAGTACTCTCAATGTGCAATTGGAACACATAGTGTCCTTGCTGACATACTGTGCTCTGAATGAGATGTAGCTGCCTGTTGATTATAGCTAGCTGGTCCAGTAACAGGTATTGACTTCTCTGAAAACACCAGAGCAAATTTCCAAATGGGTATTACTTAAACATAAACCGACCACATATTCTCAATCTAAGTGGTTATTTTCTCACCTGTAAAAATGTCAAGGCTTTACAGAGTCATACTAGTCCTAGGATATAATGGTTTGAGCCTGGCTAAAACTGTGATAACTGGCAAGTAGTTCATTCTGGGATACTTTGCTGCCTCAAGTCCACACAGGTCAGCTCCCAAAGCGTCCTTGATAAAATTGGCAGAGCAAGAATGCTTCTGGTTTTTTGATGTGTACTCTGCTAGATCCAGACTTTGAATTGGAACAGTACCTGGGCTGTAACCAATGACATTTTACAAGTCCACAAGAACACAAACACAGAGAAGTACACGTATTGGAAAATGCCCCCAATACCACCTTTTCACCAGAAAAGTTCTGGTGGATACTCTGAATAGTTCTAAATTAGATTTGAGAACTTGAACCGGTCATGCAGCAGAGGAAACATCTTACGAGTTTAGTCAAAATAAGGGCCACTGTAAGTGGGTTAAGAACATGATGCATTTGGGACAACTAAGGATTCTGGAAAGATTTTATGTTGCTTGCTATTATACTTAAGAATTTGAGAGGTAAGAAAAAAAATCACATAAATTTAAATTAAACCACAATTAATAATATACAGGAAGAGATCTCCCAGAGTGAGTGTTATGGAAATAATAGGAAATGTTAAAATGAAAAATTCTGCACAGTCTTGTACCCATGAGCTCTTTTCCAGAAGTAGGCTACATTCTCAACACACACATTGGAGGAAAGAAACATGCCTTATATGTGATCAGTAAACTTCATGGTAATCTGTGAAACTCAGGTGGTTGCCTTAGACCAGCTTTAAATATTATATAATAAAATTAGGAATTCTCTGGGGTTGAAACATGTTGCTGGTATTCAGGCAGTCAATTACTATCTTGCTGTCTCATAAGAATTAATAATATATTAATTAAATAAAGGTGATAAGCAGTTCCTTCAGTTATTTAAAATTTTACTGGTCTTAGTAGGAGAAGCACAGCTGTAATTAATGACTCTCCAAAGTGCCTCACCATAAATGTGCAGAGAATCAATACAGTAATTTCAGCTTTACCCAAAGTCTGTCATCCACCGCCAGTTTGTGTTAACAATAGCCAGCTTGTTAAGCTTGTTATGAACAAGACAAAATGCCTTTCTGTTAAACCAGAGAGATACCAGACTGTGGCTCGCTGTGAGCCCAGCAGACTGAGTAATTTGTATATTTAGGTTCTGACAGCTCTGCTCTTTTGATCCAGATATGATAGCCATCCCTAACTTTGGCACTGGTGCCATGGAGAACTGGGGCCTCATCACCTACAGGGAGAACAACCTGCTGTATGATGAAAACGAGTCTTCCTCAAGCAACAAGCAGAGAGTTGCCAGTGTTATCGCCCATGAGTTGGTTCACCAGGTATCACTTTCTAGTATTATTTAGTGTGCTTATTTCAATCAGTCAGTCAATCATAAACATTATTAACAAGTATGGTAAAATAAAAGGAATTTGACTCCAGCTCAATGGACTCCAATATGCACCAAAAAAAAAAAGAATAACTAGTAAGAAAAAACAAGACGACAAACAACCATCTACAGTAAAACCTTGGATTGTGAGTATACGTAATTCGTGCCGGCAACATGCTTGTAATCCAAAGCACTTGCATATCAAAGCAAATTTCCCCACAAGTAATAATGGCAACTTGGCTGATTCGTTCCACAACCACTTATTCATACAAAAATGATTACAGTAATGCAAAATATAGTATATAGTAAAAATAAAACAAATGAACCTTTGAAAAGAATCGTGGCTGCGTGAGGGAGACAGAGAGAAGAGCTATCTGCTATCTGTTGGCTCACTGAAATCTTTTTTTCTTTGTGCGACTTTAATAAGGAACCTATCCAATGACACTTGCTTTTGCCTCCTTTTGAGGATTTGGCACAAATGTGACATTGCATTGCCGTTAAACCAATTTATCATTTGCACTGCTACAGCCTTATTCAGGTGGTGCTTTTCCACAAAATTTTGCACCATTTCCCACATTTTACACATCTCCCTAATAAAATCTTGCAATGTTGGTCACTCACATGCCTCATTCATGCTTCTCGATCATTTCCTTTTTAACTTCCACCATAATCACCTCCTTTTTCTTACTGCCTTTCTTTTCAACCTTTATCTTTTCTTCATTGGGGCCATTGTTGCAGTACAGATGTTGACTATATGAGTAAGGCGCGAGAACCATCGGCTCAGTTGTGATTTGACGCTCGGGAGACAAAGCATACATAAGACCTCGCCCGTTTATCAAGTTAAAATTTATAAGAAATTTTTGCTCGTCTTGCAAAACACTCGCAGGCTAGGTTATTCGCAATCCAAGGTTTTACTGTATTTCTAAAAATGTGCATATATACAAGTTAACAATGAGCTATTTTATGTACAGTGATGACACCTATAGGTTACTGCACTGCAGTGTTTGCTGTATCTTGTTATACATACAGTATAAATATGGATACCGGTTCATCAGAGTGATGGCGCAGGGGAAGAAACTTGTCTGTCTGTTTTGGCATACAGTCACCTGTAGTGCCATCCAGAGGGGACTGTTTGTGTCCAAGGTGTGGGGGGTCTGCAGAAATCGTCTCTGCCCTACTTTTGACTGATGAGGTGTACAAGTCCTCCATGGAGGGCAGGCTGGCTCTGATGATTTTTTCTTCAGGCTGGCAGGTTGAACTTCCTCAGCTGGCATTTTCTGTTCTTTACTGTGCCTTCTTGATGATGGTGCTGATGGTGGACCACCACTTCAAGTCCAGGGAGATAGTGATACAGTGCTGTTGAGACCATACCACAGAATCAGCTGTTCACCCTCCCGTCTGTAGGCCAACTTGTCACCATCTCGGATGAGTGATGACTGTTATGTCATCTGCGAACTTTAGGAGTTTAACAGAGGGACCTCTGAGGTGGAGTTTGTCACTAAACGGTTTTGGGAGACTGTCTTGTAAAGAAATGACTCTATACATCTTTTGTACCAGCAGATTATTACAACCAATGGTCATGTGTTGTACAGTTAGTATGGAAAGTATTCAGACCTTTTCAAGGTTTCCACATTTTGTTTCAGACTCATTTTAAAATGAATTCAGTTTTTTTCTCAACAATCTACACACAGTACTCCACAATGATAAAGTGAAAACAGGGTTTTGTAGTGTTTTGTAATGGTATTACAAATAAAAGACTGAAATATCTGAAATATTCAGACCCTTTGTTATGACACTTGCAACTGAACTCTGGTACATCCTGCTCCTGTCAGTGGTCATTCAGATGCTTCTACTCTCAGATTCTTTGAATCTGTAATTCTCAGTTTAATTTAATGTAGTGGATATAATTTGGAAAGGCACACACCTATCTGTATAAAGGTCTTATAGGTGATGGTGTATGTAAAAGTGAAAACAAAGCCTTGAGGTTGAGAAAATTGTCCACAGACATGTGAGACAGGATTGTCAAGACACGGATCTGGGGAAGGATACAAGGATATCTCCGCATCCCTAGTGGTAGTTCTACGAATAACATGCTATATATTGCATCGGTTACAATGACTGTGGATGGTTCTGATTTTTGCTAGCACACACGTGCAGTGATCTAATGTCTACTCCCTTTGTTGCTACTTCCTAAACCCTTAGACACTTAGTGCCTGTCCTAAAGTCTCATTTGTGTAAAGCACTAAAGCAGTTGCTGGAGGTACCTGGAGGATAAAAAAGGAGACACAGAACATGTATAATACTCTGCTTAACCATTTGTAATGTGTAAAACCAGATGTGCGCGCCTACATGGTGAGGTAGAATGGCTGAGAACAACTACCTTGCAATTGTTTTTTGGCATGATGTACTGGGTTGTGCTACCATAGTGTAAAAAATAACTACAGGGCAAACTGACTACATCTTAGCGCCCCTTGTGGCTACTTGGTGAATAATATGCTGTCAAGCCAACCATCCTGGGATGTTATCAACATTATCTATTTAAACAGACATATTATTACTGGCAAAAGATGGAATAAATACTAAAATCATAATCAAATACTTTTAGGAAATATATCACTGTGTATGTGTAAATATAGACAATGGACTGGGATAGATTCACCTTCCCGTCTTAATTTTTTTTTTCCGCATTACTTTTTTTTTATTGAAACAAAGTAACACATTAACAAAACAGGACCAAACATGGGAGACAAGACAACAGATACATGACATTACAAAAAGATAGTGTTTTACAAGACTGTAGTGTGTGAGGGTGTGTAGTGTAAGTATTTCTAACTTAAGCAGTCTATTAAGGGCAAGAAAGGGAAAAGGAGGGAAAATAAGTAAATAAATAAATAAATAATTACCAATAATAATGATGATAACAGTACTACTAATAAAATCAGCTTGTTAAATTTTTAAAGGTTGGTGGGAATGTGCGTGGCCTTAGCCCCAGGTGTTTGGTTCAAGTTGAAACTTGTTAGAAACGAGTTCCATGTAACATAAAAAGCTGATAAACTATTCTTGTGAGTGAATGTCATTTTCTCTAATGTGATGCATTGTATCAGAAGTTGGTCAGGTGGTTTATGTGTAGTGATTTTTTTTGATTTCCAGTTTTGAAAGATTGTTTTCTTGGCAATAGCTAGAGAAACGAGGAGTGGGTTTTTGTATTTAATTGGTAGGTGTCAGGAATCGGCGTGTCCAGGGGTGAACTCAGTTATAGAGCCAGACGAGTAAAAGCAAAACTGTCTCTTTAATAAGAGCACAGGTAATGAACAAAGCAACACAGAAACTGATTAAACATGAAACACAATCTCAGGTTGGTAATACAGTCCAGGGTCAGAGCCAGCAAACTTATACATTCAAGGTAAGCATTTACACATTCAAAGCACGGTCAAAAGGGAAGTCCAAAGGTCGAAACACAGTACGCAATCGGAATCAGGAGGTTTAGGCAGTAATCATTGGTCAAAAAGGCAATCCAGGGTCAGAGCTGGAATCACAGGTGCAGGAAAAATGCTGGAAAGTCTTTATCTTTATCTTTATATCTTTATTGTCATTGTACATTGTACAACGAAATTAAAATGCAGTGCAGGAAGTACATCCTCTGCTGTGCCTTCTTGATGATGGTCCTGATGTTGGACATCCACTTCAAGTCCTGGGAGATAGTGGAGCCCACGAACTTGTAGGACTTTACTGCTGATACAGTGCTGCCAAGTATGGTGAGGAGGGCTAAGGTGGGGGGGGTTCTTCCTGAAGTCCACTGTCATCTCCACTGTTTTGAGTGTGTTCAGCTCCAGGTTGTTGCAGCTACACCACAGGACCAGCTGCTCAACCTCCCATCTGTAGGCTGACTCGTCATCATCTCGGATGAGACCAATGACCGTTGTGTCATCAGCAAACTTTAGGAGGTTGACAGAGGGGTCCTTTGAGATGCAGTCGTTGGTGTAGAGTGAAAACAGCAGAGGGGAGAGCACACATCCCTGGGGGGCACCTGTGCTTATTGTCTGAATGCTGGATGTGGTTTTCCCCAGCCTCACCTGTTGCTTCCTGTCTGTCAGAAAGCTAGTTATCGACTGACAGGTGGGGGCAGGCACAGTGAGCTGGGTGAGTTTGGAGTGGAGGATGTCCGGGATGATGGTGTGGAATGCTGAGCTGAAGTCCACAAAGAGGGCCCATGCGTACGCCGATTTTTATGATATTAGCGAGTAAGCAAAGTGATGGAGAAGGAGGGATTCTACAGCCCAAGATGGTGGAGAGTTTCTCTGTCACTGCTTTCCAGTGGGAATGGTTGGCAAGTCCAAGTAGCATGAAAATAATTGTCCGTGCAACCTACAATGCATTGTGAGCTGATGTCAATGTCAGTGAAACCCATTTTGAACATTTTACTTTGTGTAATATGGGTCCTGTAAATGATCTTGTATTGTATAAGTTGTAAATTTACATTCCTGGTCATAGAAAAGATGTTATTGCAAATTTCTATCCAGAAGTCAGAGCTGAGGGAGAGAGTTAAATCGTTTTCCCATTTGAGGTTTGGTATTGTTATTGTTGATTCTGTATTTGATATGAGTTTATATAGCTTGGATATTATTTTCTTGGAGGATGTCATTTTCTTAAATTCTTCAATTAATTTGGAGGATTGTAGTGGGTTATTGGTTACATTAATCTTTGACTTAATTATGGATTTTAGTTGATTGTACTGGAGGAACTGTTCTCTCTGAACTCTGTACTTCTGGATCAGTGTATGATATGAACTGGTTACTTTCAAATAGGTGATGTAAGTGAGTGATTCCTTTATGTTGCCATGCTGGGAAATAGATAGGGTTATTATGCAGTTGAAATCAGGGTTGTGCCAAATTGGAGTGTATCTACATGGTGCAAGTGATGATTTAGTGATTTTGCTTGCTTTCCACCAGGCTG